TGAAGCCATAAAGGATATTAGCAAGTGCGCTGGGACCTTTTGTTTTAAATTATTACGATCTGTTACTTTAACAGAAGTTACTATTATTATTTAACCCCACTGGTGTACTTAAAATGAAAATAGTTCAAAGCTTTTTTAAATAGGTTTTGTCTTTATAATAATCATTTTTCCAGAATACCCTCTTCCTATTTAGCCTGTTGGTACACTGCTTTGTACACCCAGGCTTTCAAATTATCCTGTCTTTCAGAATAAAAAGGTAAACAGCAAACTAAGAATGCTTTGTTAACCTTTTCACTCCAAATTATGGAAAGATTCATAAATTAATAATACATAAATTAAACAGCATATGTCAAAAAATTCCAAAGAAAGCAACATCCATCCTTGCTCTATTTTATGACTGCAGAATCAAAACCCCCCCGAATTATTAGCTGCTGCAATTCTTTGTGATTCCATTAAAACCATACTTAAGTTTAATCACACCAAAGTCTAAAGTTGAAAAAACATATTATAGAAAGCTTTCCATGATGCATACATACAACAAAAAAGAAAAAATGCTTTCCACACCCTCTATAATGGGAAAAAATTACAAATTCGGAGAGATGCACCATAGCCTTGCCCAAGACGCTCAACACTATATATGTAGGAGGGCCTCTACAGCAGCCAGGTGGGACAGCTAGCTAATAGAGCTTGCTGAGGTCCAACATGAGTGAGGTGAGGAGACGTGGTCAGAAACATCACAGCAAGCTTGAACCTACTCTCAAGCCCACCTACCAAAGGTAATACCATTAACAGAGGTAAGTCTGTGTCTTCCAGGACCTTCATCATGCTTTCAAATTTTTCAGGACATGTTTTTCATAGAAATTAGAACTAGATGCAACATTCCAGCACTGGTCTTATTAAAGGGATTTAAACAGCCTCCTACGTTTCCCCCTACCCCTACTAGGCAGCACCAACCCTTCTTGCCACTGCCCTGCACTTGAATCCCCTTTGGCTACAGGTGCTTCCTCACAACCCCAAGTCTTCCCACAGTCACAGCTTTACAAGATAAAATCTTCCATTCTGCACACATATCCAGCATTCCTTCTTCCTCGGCACATTTGCAGACAAACTGCATTTTAACAGACTCATGTTTCCATGATGTCAGCCATGCTTTAAACTTCATCCCTTCTTCATCAATCCAGCAACCACTGAACCATCTATAGTTTGTCACTATTGCTTTCATGTTTACACCCAGACAATTGACTAAAACAGCAAAAAGCATCACACCCAACACAAACACTGGGCAAAGTCCCCACAAGCTCTCATCTGTTGACAGTGGCCTCCAGCCATTACTTCTGAGTGCTGGCAGCTCACCAGCTCTTTATCCATTTTATTGTTACTGTACAGTCCTAATTTTTAAATTAATTTTAGTTGAGTAACAGTAAATCAAGGACCTAATCAAATTTAAATGTTAGCTATACAAATAGTGTACTTTCAGTTTGACAGCCAAGACACAAAAACAAAACAACTAATACACTGCTTCAGGTTAACTGTTTCCTTTTGGCAAGAACACAAGTAATACAAAACTGGTTTAGCAGTAAAGTAAGTGATGTAATCTTAATTGGAGGCAGCGTAATCAGCTCCACACACACTGAGTGCAACACTAAAACAGCCTACTGGACAATTTCTATGGCATACATACTACATGAAAGAAAGATCTATGTTTTTTAATATGAGGCTTTAGGCACTCACTTTTAAGAGTAGACAAAACCATGAGGTGAGAGTTTAAGTAGAGATGGTGACATGGTAAAGCCAAGTACTGAAATATAGAATCATAGAATCATAGAATCATTGAGGTTGGAAAAGACCTCTAAGATCATCGAGTCCAACCGTCGACCCAACACC